TTTTGGTGAGACCAAAATCTGATGAGAGAGCAGCCTAGGGACCCAGGAAGGAGTTGCAGTTTGAATCCAAAGACTGTCTGCAGTAGAACCAAGAAGAGCCAATGTTGCTTTACTCAAAGTTCACCAATTTAAATAAAAATCTTGTCTAAAAATACCCTCATAGAAACATCCAGAATAATGTTTGACCACATACCTAAGCACTGAGGCCCAGCCAAGTTGACACATAAAATTAACCATTACAATAGCTAATAGAGACTTAGGTTAAATTGACTGAGTATATGGTCATTCCAACTTTATAGGGTCTATAACAAAAGTATCACATTCCACCACCCAATGTCCTGCAGAATTACTAATGGCAGCATTCTCTCCTTTTCTCTTTCTAGGAATACTTTCTTCCAGGCAGAGAGTGGCAAGTGGGGTGTAGCACATAATGAACAGACATCATCTATATTATATTACTTTGCATAGTAATATAAATAGAAATTTTCTAGTTAAATTTTCATTAGAATCATGAAAATATTTTCACATGTTTTATTGAAGAAACTTCAATCCTATAGACTAGTTGCAAAAATTGTACAATGAACAAGTGTGTATCCTTCATTTAGATTCACTAGTTGTGAATTCCTCTCTCTTTCTCTCTCTCTTTCTGAATGTACGTGTATAGTCACCATTGTCTCCTCCTCCTCCTCCTTCATAGCTTCGTTCTTTTTTGCTTTTAAGATTGGAACTTGAGCTAATATCTGTTGCCAATCTTCTTCTTTTTTCTTTTTCTTCGTCTCCCCAAAGCCCCCCAGTGAGTAGTTGTATATTCTAGTTGCAGGTCCTTCTGGCTCTGTTATGTGGGGCACTGCCTCAGCACGGCTTGATGAGCAGTGCTAGGTCTGTGCCCAGGATCCAAACTGGTGAAACCCTGGGCTGCTAAAGTGGAGCACTCGAACTTAATGACTGGGCCACGGGGCCAGCCTTGTTCCATTCTCATTAATTTTGTCAATTCATTGAAGAGTAAGTTGCAGATACCCCAATCCTTCAATCTTAAATAATTCTTCACCTATCTTCTAAGAACAAAGCCACCAACTTACATATCTACAATACAATGATCAAATTCAGAAAATTTATCCTGTTACGACACCAGTGTGTATTCTCAACTCCAACTTCGTATTTCACTAATTATTCTATTAAAGTTCTTTTTTGTTTTTTTCCCCTAAGATTGGCACCTGGGCTAACAACTGCTGCCAGTCTTTTTGTTTGTTTGTTTCTGCTTTATCTCCCCAAACTCCACCCTGTACACAGTTATATATCTTAGTTGCAGGTCCTTCTAGTTGTGGATGTGGGATGCTGCCACAACGTGGCCTGAGGAGCGGTGCCATGTCCTCACCCAAGATCCGAACCCTGGGCCGCCACAGGGGAGCACGCGAACTCAACCACTTGGCCACGGAGCCGGCCCCTATTAAAGTTCTTTTTCAGCACTTTTTTTCAAGTCAACATGCAATCTAGAAATAGTCATCTCATTTAACTACCATGTCTCTTTAGTTTTTGGGGGGAACAACTCCTCAATCTTTGTCTTTTACAACATTCACGTTTTTTGAAGAATATCTTCAAATTGTTGCCTGATTTGTGGATTTCTGATTGCTTCCTTAGGACTAGACTCAAGAGTCTGTTGTTTGTTTTTTTATTGGCAGAGATTCTCCCTGAGTTGTGCACTCTCAGCTGATCACACTGGAAGACACATCTGTCCCATTCTTGGAATGCTAACTTGAGTCATGGAGCTGTGGTAGCATCTGCCACCTCTCTCCACTGTAAAGGTAACTATGGGGGTAAAGGATGTTCAAATATCCTTTTTCCCCAAAAACTTTTACCAAATCGTCTTAGCATTCGTTGATTACTCTTTCCTGGATCAATTATTGCTATTGTGGTTGCTAAATGATGATTTTACTACCTCCATCATTCCACTGCATTTATTAGTTGGCATTCCCCCATAAATACGGCTGCCCCATCTTCTCTTTTTGAAGTTAATTTAATCATGTACCTTGAAATCAACATTATAAATATTAAGCTATGGCTGACATAGGATAGTAGATACATATCTGAGATACAGTATATTGTGTAGACCATTGGATAGAAAACTCAACCTGAATTTAGTCCAAATTTTATTGATAACATGCAGCGGATGTTAGGAAAATCACTTCACATCTCTAAGTTTTAGTATTTGCATCTGTCCATTGAGCATTTTGACTATTTAAACGTCAACATTTTCTTTAGTTTTAATAGCCTACAACTCATAAAAAATTTTTGGTTGGTCTTTATGAGGCTTACGAGAACTTTAACAGAGGAAATTCCCCCTTCTCAGTCTTAATAACAGCTGGCTTAATTAATTGCAATTGGCCAAAAACTGGCAAAGAAACTCCTAACCCCATTAACTTATTTTGGTTCTCATTAAACTTTTAAATTCACTTACTTTCCTTTTCTCCTGTCTATTTCAAGCTTATTTTCATCTGTGTTTCGCAACCATATTTGGAAAATGCACAGATTGAGCACACGTGTAGGTGGAATTATACAGCTAAAAAACATTCCATAAAATGATCTTGGATATTTCAGGGTGCTTCAGGATTAATTATAGTCCTACAATTCCCACATTAAGGCAGACTGTGGGTTAGAAGGCTGGGCTGAGAGAGCTGTCGTCCCAGTAACAACATTTGAGGCGAGTGATTTACTAGAACAAAGTCTGTACCAATTTCAAAGTAAACTTTTTACAAAGTCAAATAGCCATTAAAAAAAGTGGCCCTAGATGTGTTCCCAGCAAATTCTGCTCTATAAATTCTAAAACTGTGAGAAAAATGTGGTTGAAAGTTGAAGGTTGACAAAATGTATAATCTCAAGAACCTTTCAGGAATGATAATTTTAACATCATTACTAATACTTACGAATCTAGAGAGCAGAATGAAAAATCGCTCTGGCGATAATATGGGGAATGCAAAATAGTTAAGCGTACATTAAAGGTTTAAAGTTTCAATTCTGAAAACAGCAATATATTTGGTTGTTCCTCTTGACATTGTTCAGAGGATAAATTACGTATATAAAAAACAATTTGTTACTTTCATGCCTGTCATTTTTAAACTGTAAATTTTAAATTGAAAAGTGTTAAGGAAGGTTTATAATGCCACTGTGATTTTCCTGGAAATAAAATATTCAAAAAAATACATGATAAATGGTCACTCTATCTATATCTGTCATTCGTGTTTGATATGTACATGCATATATGTGCATAAATATATCTCTATAAATATATGAGCATAATAGATCATTTTTATTGAGTATTTCCTTGTAAAGAGGTCCTAAGTACTTCACATGAATTATGATTTTATATAAATTATGTCACTTAGTCTTCTTAATAATCCAATGAGACATCTACTACCATTGTCCCATTTTGCGGTCAAGGAAATCAAGTCAAAAAGTGATTAAGTTAGTTGTCCATCATCAGACTGTTAATAAATGGCAGAACCATTGGGGAAACAGATTATATGCCTCTAAATACTGTGTCTTTTATTCTTAAAATTTATTTAATCAAAAAACTTAATATGGATGCATTTCTCTCTTTTTTTCTCAAGATATATTTATAATATATGGAAATAATGTACATTTCTTTTTATATTTACATATAATGTGTATATGTTTTATGTTCACAAAAAGCAATGTACAAATACATTTCCCACCTGTTTTCAACATTGGAAGGAGCCCAGACTGACCACGTGCGCTGTCCTGGCTTACAGTTTGATAGGGCTGTGACTGTGTTCTCTGGTCAAACATTATTTTCGTGGTCAAAATTAACCTTTAAACCCTGTAAGACCCAAGAATGTGGGAATGCTTTTAGTGGCTTATTAATGTAACAGGGAGAGGGGCTGCTCTTCTCTCTGTCCCATGGCTTCCAATTCTTCCTATGGTGTTGACGACACAACACACTGGCTGTCAATCAAAGAGTCAAACAGAATTCTTTAGGACCACAACCCAAATGTAGAGGGTGTTGTCTCCTGGTTGAGCATCCAACAGGTCAATCTATCATTTTTTCAGCTGTTTTAGGAAGATAAGGCTCCTGGTAATGACCGTGGATGTCACGGATGTGAGCTGTCTGCTTCCTTTCTTTGCTATAGAATAAAGTATTTGTTGGTAGTGATTAATAAGACTTTCTGAAAATCCATGTGTGGTGATTCTGGCAGAAGTGTTACAGCAAGTGAAGGAAAATTCACATCTGTATTGTAAAATGAAGAGTGTCCTTCATTATGAAGAATCTAAAGTAATCAACTTGCCACTGGGTATATCACTGGTCCTTCATGGAATTGCCATAACAAAGGGTGTGCTGAATTGATCTCTTCCTTAAAACTGGGCACTCACCAGGAGCAATAACCCATCAACCATGTGAGTGGAACTAAATAAATTTATGGCCAGAAACTACTTTGGAAATTTACACGGGTGACTAAATTAGTTCTCTATTTTGTATGCTTCTCTCTCTCTCTTTTCTTTCTCTCTCTACCTCTCTTTCTCATTCAAATGTTAAAACACATCTCTGAAACCTGTCTAATCTTGTTTTGGCTGAGCTAAAGAGCCGGGAAAGTTTCCACAGCAATTTAAGGATTAATAGGAAAATCAGAGCTTCTGGATTCTTGATCTGGTAGTGGTAGCACCAGCTTTTCGTTCTTCCAATATCCCCCCAGGAGTTAAGAAACTGCAACAAGGTTGAGCAGTAAAAATCCAGGAAAGAGGATAAGAAGACAACCAAGGTGAATGCCTCCCTCCCACCCCCTTTTTTTAGAACTTTTGATCACCAGAGGCCTTATTTTATGTCGCAATTACAAAGACTTGAAAAGCACCTCATCAAACAAGCATGCAAAAATGAAAGCAGCGCGGTGCCAATTGGGTGCAGTTAATTTTTAATTATTCTCTCTCTCTGCTGACTTTGTTTATTGCTAAGCAGCTGTAAGGGTAGAACCCGCCAGAGGGGAACTCACCAGTCCTGTGTGAACGGGGATGTCCTTATAGTACATGGTCTCAAAATAGATTACAACTGAGACCGCCGCAGTTCAGGACAGCTTGTTTTTCCCTCCTTAAATGTCACAGTAATACAATCCCGTCTCTACAAAGCCAAGTTGCCCAGAAATGCACAAAGTTTGTGGCTCTCACATTCCCCTTGCTCCTACTTGAGGAAAGATCCTATTCAAATCAGAAGAAAAACACCAGTGCCACATTAAAAAGAAAACACCACCAATTAGAAAAACAATCTACGGATCTCTTTATATTCTGTTCAATAACCATCCCTTATCCTTCGGAGACTTGAAAAATAAAAGTGAAATTGTGGTGTTACAAAAGATTAGATTGATTTTAAATCCTCCACGCACTCAAGGTTTCACTGCTTTTTGCCAAAACATGGTAATCCTGCCCTGGAACTGTACCCATCTCTGACGGTGAAGAACCGTGCCATGTGGGCTGCCTTCCTTCTGGGGATGGTTTACGAGGTGAACAGAACCCAGGGCTTGTCAAAGATGCTGTTATACAACAGAGGGTTCTGATATAAGAATACACAGAGCGAGAATTGGGGCATAAGCTTATGGATTTCAAGACTTCTTTAATTTTTCTCAGGTCTATTGATCACAGGTAAAGTTATACACAAAGATAAAATCAAGAGAACAATACCTATTGTCACTTCAAATCCTCTGAAAATACAGATTCTAGGGTAAATCTTTGGGGATTACATGCATTCTCAAATACAAATGAAAACAGTTAAAATCAGTGCCCAATAACATGGAAATAAGTCATAGAGCAGATTCCTTGGGAGAAGTGTTCATAAAGTGTTGATATTTAAATGTAACGGTGTTATATATTTTTATTGTATTTGGAACATATGACATCCTACTTATCAAGTGTAAATCAACTTTAGTTTCTCTAAGACAAACATAAAATCCTGATTGCCATTTCTTATATAAAAACTACCCCAGCCTATCTCACCTTTCAGGTGAGCCTAAATGGAAGTGTCTATATGGAAAGTGTGATTTGTTGTCCATCTTCCAGTTGTTTAGTTGTGTTTTTTCCCATTCTGAGGTGGCTTTCCTGCTTGGAAGAATTGCCTCAGGGGGATGTTTTATCTTAAGTGATAGTTAGACTTGGTTTTAAAAAAAGTCATGGGCCAGCCTGGTGGCGTACTGGTTATGTTCGTGCACTCTGCTTCAGCTGCCCAGGGTTCACAGTTTCTGATCCCGAGTGTGGACCTAAACACCGCTCATCAAACCATGCTGTGGCAGTGTCCCAAATACAAAATAGAGGAAGATTGGCACAGATGTTAGCTCAGGGACAATCTTCCTTAAAATAAAAAAAGCTAAGCTAAACTAAAAATAATCATTAGAGGCTGACCCAGTGGCATAGTGGTTAAGTTCAGGCGTGCCCTGCTTTGGCAGCCCGAGATTTGTGAATCCAGATCCTAGGCAGGGGCCCACACACCACTCATCAAGCCACGCTGTGGTGGCATCCCACATACAAAATAGAGGAAGATTTGCACAGATGTTAGCTCAGGGATAATCTTCCTTAAGCAAAAAGAGGAAGATTGGTAATAGATGTTAGCTCAGGGCCAACCTTCCTCACCAAAATAAATAAATAAATAAATCATTAAGATGAGTACTAAGCATTAGAATTAGTGAACACAAGTAATATCTATTCCCATCAAGGTGTTAAATTCTTTGCTTTTAGCCCTGTTTGATGTGCACCCAAATCCCCAAATTGGTGTATTTATCATGGGAGCACTTGAGTGTGACCTTCGTAACTATTTGGTCCAGGGACCATTTGGTGCATGTGTTTCTAATGGACTCACACTTAGCTCATGGAAGTCTGGCTTTGTGGAGGAAGTGTGAGGTCCAAGAAGCTGTTGGGAGGCACTTTTCTTGGAAAAAGGAAGTTATGTTCTTTTATTTTATAGTTCACAGACTGGCTTCTAAAGATTGGAACTTATTTCTAATGTATGAAATCACGAAGTTAGAATATGTTCTAAATTTGGCCAGGCGTCCTTCCGTTTCTGATTAGAGTGATGTCACAGTTTGAAGCTAAAGGCAAAGGGCCAGCAAACCCTCTGGACCGAGGAAGCAGAAACTGCATTTCCAGGGTTCCATTCTCTTAAAACTCCCTTCAAAGGAGGCCAAAATGCTTGTGTACAGACACTGTCATCCATGATGTCATATTTCCCAGTAATTCTAGAACAAAGTTATAGCTCCTTCAACAAATTTCTTTAATATCTTAAACATTCATTTTAATATTTTTAAAAGATTTCATTGCTCCGTGGAATCCTTTGAAACTTCGATACATAGTATGTTTAAATTTTGAAAGTTCCGTTTTGGATAATAAATCATGTGTTGCCCTCAGTATCATTGGAGCAAGGAACCGATTGTGATGCAAAGTTCAAAGGCTTTGGAGCCACAGACCTTGGTTCTTCTTGGTTCTTCCTGCTTTCTTGGCTACATGTTCACGTACAAAGTGCTTGATCTTTGCATGTCAGTTTCTTCACATGTAAAAGGGACGATAGTGCTCACCTGAAGTTTCGGGAAAAAAAGTCAATGACATCATGCCTGAGAAACAAGTAACAGTGGTCAGCCTTTGTAGTGACTCAGCAAATGCTAATCTCTTTCCTCCTTACTGCTTCAAATAGCAAATCTCTCTACCGTTATTGACAATTAATCCATATAATGAGTTTTTCCAGATAACAAAATCCTACTTTAAATCACATTCCAGGGAGTGAAATTCCTATGGCAACGGAGACTTATTATCTTCTTGGAGAATTCAAAGTGTTCAATGGATAGTGAAACTACATTTAAAAGTAGATTTTCAACATATTTAATTAAAATTTTAATCTTGCATGATAGACCTTTTGACCTCCCTACAAAGAAGAGAAAAATTGGAGAGCTTCTAGCCACGCTCTTTTGTTTCTCTCACCTTCAGCACTTCTTTTATCATCACTGCGTCTTCCTGAGCATCTTATCAGCTCTGACAACCTCCATCAGGTCTGCATGCTGATTCTCCACAGCGCTGTTGAAAAGGAACGCGATTGTGTGCATGCTTATTCCACCAGAAATCATTTTTTTGGGAATAAAAGCAAGATTAAAAATATATATGTGTGTGTTCATAACTTAAAATAATCTTTAAAGCCCATCTCCAATGTTTAAATTTTGAAAGTGCTCTTAATTTACTAGTTCACGGAAGCATCTCAGTAGTCTGTGCAGTATTTTATTATGTCAGGCAGAGTGGAGTCGGGCGAGTATGTGGAATCCATAAAACCCAGGTAACTTATCCTACATACAGGTCGTTATTTCTGTCCCCTCACGGGCTGCCTGATGGAGACCACTGCCACTGGTGCTGCTCTGACTTCGCTGGACCCCCACGGCTGCATCGCACAGCCAGCTGGACTTCAGTGACTGCTTTCAGCACTGTGTCTGTCCCAGGCTTTTCCACTCCCCTCAAGCCCTTCTCTGCCTCTCTGTCCTCCTACAACTACAAACTTTCGAGATGACCACGCGTTGCTCTTTCCTGTCACGATGACTCTGGTTCCCTTCAAACGTCTGTATGACCTCCGTATGACCTCATCCACCCCTTTCTTCCTCTGTCCATCTCAGGAGGAAATATCCGTTTGTGTGCTTGGAGAAAGCAGCATGGCTCAGTAATAAAGAACATGGCTTTTCCTGGACAAACCTAAATTGAAATCCACCCCTTAGTAGCTGTGTGACTTGGATGGGTTTCTTGAATTTTCTGAACCTCACTTTTCTTGCCTGTAGGATGATGAAAATGGCCTTCACCCTGCCAAGGGTGGTCACGAGCATAGTGTTTTTCAAATTATTTAAGGCTGTTTCTCATTTAAGTGTCTCTGTTCTCTTGGTTCTTGTACGTCTATCATCTCCTACTTTATGAGAGGCATTTATTAAACATATTTTTTTGCTTGCAGCTAGTAACATTCAACTTTATAAATGAGTGTGAAAAACTCAGCCCAGAGAGCTATCTGTACACTCAACCCGGAACAGACCTTGCCAACTCAGCATTCTGCATAGAGTGATTTTCCAGCATGTTTCCACTCATGCTGGTGGGCAAAACCCTAACTGCCAGGTGGTACCCACATGGCAGGGAATTGTCTCTAATAATACTTTTATGAGTTTGTTTACTCCACAGGAAAATTGAGAATTATTGAACACTCAAAGAGCAAATTTACAACCTAGTATAAAGTAATTATATAAATAAAAATATACAGGGGGATTCTGGCATTAACGTTGATTTTCTTTTCATTATGGCATTCATTATGGGGCATGCTATGGACTGAATGCTTGTGTCCCCTCAAAATCCTGACTCCCAATGTGACAGCGTTAAGACGTGGGTCCTCTGGGAAGTGATGAGGTCATGAGCAGGGAGCCCTCTTGTAAGGAAACACGTGAGAGAGATGATCTCTCTCTACCCCATGAAGACACAGCAAGAGGCATTCTTCTGCCAGCTAGGAAGTGGGCTCTCACCAGATACCGGGTCTGCTGGCATCTAGCGTCCAGAATGTGAGAAATGAATGATTACTGTTTAAACTCTCCATCTGAGCAGCCTGAGCAGATGAAGTCAGTACATGTGGGCAGTAGTAGCTCAAAAATGGTCACCTTTGTGGCCCAATTTAGAGTTCTATCTAGAGTTTTTCCAAGTTACATGTGTACATTTCTGTGGGTTCCATATTCCCATAGACCTTGCTGACTAATGTTGGGATATCATATTTGTGTGGAGCCTTATTATTATTTCTAAATTTTTGCTTTTTAAATTTTTGAAGTTCACTTTCTGCTCTTTCTTTCACAGTGGTAATTTGGAGGAAGAGATTTCAATCAAATTTTCTTGTCAAATGAACTCATTTACTCATTAGTTTCCATTCTTTTCTCCTGAAGTTGTTTCTCTTGTTAAGCACTCCTATTACACTCTCTAGCTCAGCTTGCTTGGAGCATCCAGAGGGGACAGGAGAAGAACTGAAATGGTATATGCCAGTTTTCATTAGGACTGTTTTCTCAGTTGTCACAACAGCTAAGGAAAGCAATGAAATCACATCACTTTTTAGAGCAGGCTTTCTCAGC